GAATCAAGTCTGGAGAATAAGATCAAGGTATTACCAGTTTTGGTCAAATGTAATGTTATATTTGGGTTCAGAGGTTCAGGGTGCCCTCAGATCCCGAGAGGACGTTTCCCCAGGTTCTTGGTCTCCTATCCTCTCAAGAATGAGAGGGGGACCACAGCACAGTGCACAGTAAATGCCAGACTCAAAAGTGTTTACAGAAACTGATTTATTTAGGTAGAGAGAGAAACAGGAGGAGAGAGAAAGAAACAGCTAACCCTCACACCGAGTGAGAGAATCCAGAAAGATGGAATCCAGCAGAGGAAAGCAGCTTCCACACTGAGTGAAAGGGAATAGAGAGATGGAGTTTAGGAGGGGAAGACTGGCTTCCAGGAGAGAGTGTGGAAGGGGACCCCAGATGGGAAATCCAGGAGAGAGAAAGATGGCTTCCACAAAGGGAGTGTTCATGGAAGGGGACCCAAACATGGAGTCTGAAGGGGTGTGGAAGAAGGGGACTTTTAACTTGGGAGGAACCCCTACCTTCTCTAAGACCCCTGGCCAATGAAAGCAGTTCCTTAGAACTTCCGCTGGAGTGACTGACTTTTAGTTTCTTCCTGCGCCCACGAAGTTCAAACATAAACCATTAAATCTCCTGGATGGAGAGAGATGGGAGAGGGGCATGGCGCGGGGAAGTTCTTGCACTTAAAATGCGCCCCCTTGTGGACCCGGAAAGAGAACACGTTCCCTCAATAAGATCTCACTAATTTTAAGTGGCTCAGATTGAGAACACAGAAAATAAATAGTATATAAGTTGATGTAGTCTAGTAGTTCTCCAGAAGAAAGAGACAAACTGCTTTCCCCAATTATATTTTCTAATAAGATTTAATCTTGGTTTTCTCTCACCTTAATGCAAAGGCAGTTTTGACCCATCTGGACACCTCTATAGTTATCATATATAGTTATCAACTATATATGTTAGTATATATCACATATAGTTATCAACTTATGTGTGCCCAGAGGGAGAGGTAGATAGTGGTTATGAACAATGATATTACTTAGGTACACTAGTTATAAAGAACCTTAAGCATTCAAAAACTTGAGTCTCATGCAAATCAAACTCACATTCTGAACAATAGAATGCATAGAAGTTTTGACCTGAGTACCACCTTCTCTGGAAGAACAGAGGTCAGAGTCTATGAAATCAATGAAGGCTATTTATATCTGGGTTCAGTTTGGGGTCATGTTGACCATCTATACAAACCTGTGTGAGAAAATGGCTTCACGATCCAATGAAGATGATCAATTATTTATTTTAAGTTTAGAAACAACCAAAACCTTACAAAAGTATACAAAATTGTATGATAAATCTTCATATAGCCAATCAGTGTTAACAATAAACAATTCTTCATTAATCTTTATATATACTGATGGTCCTCTATTTTTGATGGCTGACTCATGATTTTTTTTCCCTTATGATAGATAGTGCAAAAGCAATATGCTGTAAACTAAAAATAAGATTTTTTAAATTATTTTACTTTAGGTTCTGAGGTACATGTGCAGGTCATGCAGGGTGGTTGCATAACCAGGTGGTTTGCTGCCTCTATTCCCCCTTCATCTATGTCCAGCATTTCTCCCCATGTTATCCCTCCCCACCCCCCTTCCCCTCCCCTAGCCACCCCCAACTGCCTCCAGTGTGTGATGCTCCTGTCCCTGAGTTCACGTGTTCTCATTGTTCAACATCTGCCTATGAGTGAGAACATGTCGTGTTTGGTTTTCTGTTCTTCTGTCAGTTTGCTGAGAATGATGGTTTCCAGATTCATCCAAGTCCCTATAAAGGACAGGAACTCATTGTTTTTTATGGCTGCATAGTATTCCATGGTGTGTATGTGCCACATTTTCTTTGTCCAGTCTATCCTTGATGGGCATTTGGGTTGGTTCCAGGTCTTTGCTGTTGTACATAGGGCTGCAATGAACATATGTGTGCATGTGTCTTTATAATAGAATGATTTATAGTCCTTTGGGTATATACCCAGTAATGGGATTGCTGGGTCAAATGGAATTTCTATTTCCAGATCCTTGAGAAATCACCACACTGTCTTCCACAATGGTTTAACTAATTTACACTCCCACCAACAGTGTAAGAGTGTTCCTAAAGTAATATGCTGTAAACTAAAAATAAAATCCTAAGCACCTCCCAAACATCTAAATGGACCCCTCCTCTTGGCCAACCGTATTTCAAAGTTAACTTGAAAAACCAGTTTAGGGAGCCGCAGTGGCTCGGGCAAGTTGTCCTGGCGCTTGAGGAGGCAAGGCTATGAGTTCAAGGCCAACCTGAGCAACATAAGAACCTCTCATTCATTAACAAACAAAAAACAAACAAAAACAAAAAACAGTACAGGCCATGATGGGATTTGGGAGTGGAGACGGGGCACAGAGAGTTGGACATGCTTCATCATACCCTTCTCCCCTTGAAATCCAGGCACTACTGACCGGTACTAACATTAAAACAGAGATCTTAAGACTTTTTGCAGCAATAAGACAACAAGTTCCAGCCTGGCTGTAATAAAGCATCATATGACAAATACCAGGCCTTTAAAGAAATTGAGATATTTTTCCCTAAAATATATATTTTTGGCATATTTTGAAATGGCCCTGCAAAGCTGTCTCTTGTGGGGAAAATCTGCATTCTGTAGAGAATTTTTATTTCAGGTCTTTTTGCTGATCCAGGAGATAATTTACTGAGTCTGGTACTTTTTTAAGTTGGATAAGAAACATTTATAATCTATGCTCTCTGAAGTCTGCCACCTAGAGGCTTCATCTGCATAATAAAAACCTTGGTCCCCTCCCTTATTTTAACCCAGATACTGTCTTCTATGGATTCTAGGTCTTTAGTTAAATTCTTTGAACCAATTGCTAGTTGGAAAATCTTTGAATCCATCTATGACCTGGAAACATCCCTCAAATCCTCCCACCTCCTACCCTCACATTTCAAGTTTGAGTTGTCCTGCCTTTCCAGACTGAACCAATGTACATCTTATATTTATTTTTCGATGTCTTAGTTCTTTTTAAAATGTATAAAACGAAGTTGTAGCTTGACCACTTTGGGCACATGTTGTCAGGATCTCTGTGACAGGTCCAGTGTCAAGGGCATGTTCTTAACCTTGGCCAAATAAACTAAATTATTTGATAGTCATCGCAAGGCTGGGTTCAGTGGCTCAAGCCTGTAATCCCAGTACTTTGGGAGGCTGAGGTAGGCAGGTGGCTTGAGCTCAGGAGTTCAAGACCAGCCTGGGCAACACAGTAAAACCCTGTGTCTATCAAAAGTACAAAAAATTCAGCCAGGCATGGTGGTGCACACCTGTGGTTCCAGCTACTTGGGAGGTTGAGGTGGGAGGATCGCTTGAGCCTGGGAGGTAGAGGTTGCAGTGAGCTGAGATTATGCCACTGCACTCCAGCCTGGGTGACAGAATAAGACTCTATTGCAGAAAAAACAAAAAAGAGATGCATTTCAGATACATTTTTGTTTACAATGAATTTAGTAAAACCATACTTTGAGTATGCATGCAATTATTTGGTTTTTCACTTTTAGCACAGTATTAAATAAATTACATGGGCTTTTCAACACTCTATTATAAAATAGGCTTTGTGTTAGATGATTTTGCCCAACTATAGGCTAATGTATGTGTTCTGGGCACATTTAAGGAAGTTGAAGCAAAGCTAAGCTGTTTGTTGAGTTAGTTGTACTAAATGCACTTTTAACTTATGATATTTCCAATTTACAATGGATTTATTGGGACATAACCCATTATAAGTTGGGGAGTATATGTATTTCCACTCACTTCTTTGACTTTCAGTTTAAACCCCAGACATCGTATCATGGAATCTGTAAATATTTCAACATCTCTATAACTTTGTAGACCAAAACAACACAATATGACACCTAAAACAAAAAACAAAAAACACCAATAATCCTTTTATACCACCAATACTCAATCAGTGTTGAAACTTCTAATTGTTTCAAAAGATCTTTTCTTTTACAATTTGTTTATTTAAATCAGGAGCCCAAAACTGTACACACACACAGAGATTGATAATAGGTTCCTTTTTTCCCTTCAGTTTTGTAATTTATTTGTTGAGGTCACTTGGCCTATAACATTTTCCAGAGTCTGGATTTCACTGACCATCAGTTTTAAATTAAAGCTTTTATGATCAATGAATCACATTTCCCCTCCCTGTGTTCTATCATTGGATCCAACCCCCAAATCATATGCAGTAAGTTTAGTGTTATTCTCTTTGGGTGCAGGAAACAAACATTCCCTTAGGCTACCCGTAGCAGGAAGTATTAGTGTAAGGCTACACATGGGATGGGATAAAAGGATACAGGAATCTCAAATGTTGAATTAACTTCCAAGGATTCCAGGAAAATCTAAGCATTGCATAAAAAACAGGAACCTCACAAAAGCCCAGCTTTTTGGAAACCAACTACAGTTCAGAGTCATGCAGGATCTGACAAAGTCCTGGCAACTAGGTGATCTCTTTGCTCCCTTGGCAGCAGAGACTTGGAAATGTCTTCTCTATTTGAGAGTGCCTGTGTTTCTGCTCCCACACTCACTGGTCTGTGTCTGTTGCATCTGCATGTCGCAAGTTCAACAGTCTGAGGGGTTTCTAATTGGTCTAATGCATCATTATGTCCCTCAGGGCAGAGCTTTTATGCTGAACTATTTTACACAATTGACCATTCATCATCCTACTTACACGTTAGTTGCCCTTAATTTGGGTACCCACACTGGTCTCATCATTTGTGACCTGGGTGATGGGGTCAGAATATGGGTATTGGGTGGAAACATTTATGGCACTGTTGTTCACCAAGGGGTTGTGATTGTGATAGACATTGTCAGAGGTAAAAGACTCAAGTATAAGTATTTGTTTGAAAAGGCTGAAAATCCAAAGAGATTTCCAACACGCACACACACACACACACATGCATGCATGCACACACACACACAGAGTAATTAATTCATGACTAGAGCTGCAAAATTTTATAGTTTACTGAATCATAGTAAGTACATTTCCTACAGGATCTTCATCTGTGTTTTCCTTTAAGAACTGTTGAGGTTTAAAAGGCAGATGGTTTCAGTTTCTTCTGACATACAAGAGAGAAAAACTGCAGAGATTAAGGGAATCAAGGTCACTCATCAGCATTGAAGAATCCAGGACTCCAGGCAGTGGGGTCTTCTGTTCACACTCACTTCACACCTTAATCTCAGTTCTATATTTTGTCTTCTGTTTTCGAAAAACAAAATAGTAAAATGAAAGAAGAAGAAAAGGAACCTCAGAAACAAGAATTCCTTAATTCTCTAAGTCTTCCTTTCTCAACTTTTGTTTAGTTAATGTCAGGACATCACAGCCCCAGACTTTACTAATTTTTAGCCCTGTTCTCTGTTCTGCATCTATGCTACTGTGGATCTTCATGAACAACCATGATCTCATCTGGGAAACACAGCAAGATCCCACTTCTACAAAAAATTTAAAAAATAACCGGGCATGGGTGGTGTGTACCTGTAGTCCCAACTACTCAAAAGGCTGAGGCATGGGGATCGCTTGAGTCCAGGAGTTCAAAGTTGCAGTGAGCTATGATCACACCACTGCATTCTAGCCTGGGCAACAGAGTGAGACCCTGTTTCTGAAAAAAAAAACAAAAAACAAAAAAACCACAAAAAAAATAAACAAAAAAAAGCCAATCTTAATTATGTGTGCCACTAGACATAAGGAATAGCTAGCAAATCTGCCTCCATTATGGAAAAACCACAGCAAAACACCTTCAAACAGGTAGGTGGGGTGGTTATAACATTTTTATTCAAATACAATTGAACCGAGAGAAAGATACTAAAGATATCTTTATTTGTTTCCTCTGCCAATTTACTATGCCACAACTTAAAAGGGTTATAAGTTCACATAATGCCAAACTGAAAGATGACATTTAATATTTTTCCGTATTAAATGAAATTTTAACTCCTAACAGGCACACATTAACTTATATGCTTAACTCTTACTCTCCCCTCATGGAAATTTTTGTTTCCTTACACAGTTGCTAAGATCTTATACCCTCTGGAAAAAGACAATGGCATTTAAACCCCTTCCCAATCCAGGTGCTAACTATACTTATTTTTCATTTTCTTTTCTTTTTTTCTTTTTTAAACTGAGTTGTTCACATGCCAAATTCCTATGGGAAAGGAGAAAAAGCACATTGTTTTTCAAACCTAACAAATAGTTTAATTAAAACTCACCTCATTGGCCACTTTTAAGCAGAAAGACAGCCTGGATCAAAGTGCATTTGCAAAGAACTAGAGGAAGCCGAGCAGCACGTAATGCCAGAAAACTCACATTGATGCCAGACTGAATTGAGTACACTATCCAATTCACAAAATTACAACCAATGATTTTAACCTTATCTTGCTAACTTTTCTCCACAACAATGTTTAAAGAGACTCTGCCTGGAAAGATAATTGAAGCTAAAAGGATGGCAAAGCACTCTGACAGGACATAGCACATTCTGATTTAGACCAAACTGTTTTTGGGGAACTACTGAAGGTTACAAATAGTGACCACTTAAAAAGACAAATTAAAGACACTAAAAGAAGTAATGTTATCCTAGTCAGACAGTAGATTTTACAATATGTGTGTGTTGAAGAGCTAGTTCTGTGTATTTTTCAGTGGTTTAAATCTTAGTGCATTAATAACAAAAGCTAGGCACAGGCGCTGTTTATCCTAAACTCAGGCATGCTAAAGGAAAGAAAGATTAATCTGATAAAGGCATCACTATTTCTAATGGAACTGATGGGAAAATGTAGTATTGGGTGTAAAAGGCAATGTCGGGGGAATTACAGTGAAGTGATGAACTACCTTGAAGCTGAAGCAATCAAATAGATAGCTCTAAAAATTACTACAGCATCTGTATTCAACAGTTTGGTGCAAGTGTCCCCATCTTGGCCTTTTTCATGAAGAGCAGAAGCACTTTGCTGTATTTGGTTAAATTAAATCTGAATAGGACAGCCTCAGCTAAGGCTGCTACCCTTCACTTACCAAAATTAAACACTGGACATTACACATTCATTTCCTATCAAAGAAATGGAGATGACGTTTTTATAATATCATCAATTCACAAAATTGTTATAATCCAGAAGAGTTAGCTAACATTAAAAAATCCGGTAACATACTTATGTCTTTGTATTTCACATTCTTTTTAATTAAAAATAATGTACACCATTTGTTACTCATCTTTGTCTTTCTGTATAAATAATTTAGTGAGTAATTATTTCATCTTTGGAAAAAAAGATAATTACCTCTAAATTATTATGATTAAGTAGAATAAAGTCAAGATGTTTTTGCAATTGAGAGAGTAGAGCCAACAGTCCCTATTGGAGTGTTCTGTTTTAATACTTTAATTTTGTCTGCTTGCATTAAAACATCAAAAAATAGAAATAAAAAGCAGTATCCTACAAAAAATACTCATAATCTCACCACCCAGAGATAACCACCATTAACATTTTTGGAACATACAAATGTATATATACATTAAATATATTATGTGTGCAAGTGTTTTTTTTGAGACAGAGTTTCGCTCTTGTTACCCAGGCTGAAGTGCAATGGCGCCATCTCGGCTCACCGCAACCTCCGCCTCCTGGGTTCAGGCAATTCTCCTGCCTCAGCCTCCTGAGTAGCTGGGATTACAGGCACGCGCCACCATGCCCAGCTAATTTTTTTGTATTTTTAGTAGAGACGGGGTTTCACCATGTTGACCAGGATGGTCTCAATCTCTTGACCTCGTGATCCACCCGCCTCGGCCTCTCAAAGTGCTGGGATTAGAGGCGTGAGCCACGGCGCCCGGCACAAGTGTGTTTTTATACATATACACATGTATATATGCATGTATATACACATATATATGTATTTTTAAGTGAAATAAGACTACACAGCGTACTTTGAATCCAGCCTTCTTTTCCTAGAAATATATTGTAGGCATTTAAAAAAATTAATAGGTAATGATTTGTAACATTTAGTGTGTCTGCACGGTACTGCCTTATATGTGCTTTATTATTTACCTAATATATATTAATGAGTGTTCAAGTTATTTTCAATCTTTCATTATCATAAAGAGGATTGATACATCTTTGAGTTAAAAGCTGATGTTATACACAAATGTGAGACATTTTATTTAGACTACTTCATACGCTGGCTCTCAAATACCAGATAAATGCTCCAATGGGTAATGACACTTTATAAACCTTTGAAACAGCAATTCCACTGGGTAGTATATATACATTTTCTATTAGTTCAGAATATTTCATATTCCCCCTCATGTATTCCTTCAGAGTAGCTACAAAGTAAACATTAGCATCTGCATTGAACATAGTAACTTCCAAGTTGAAGGACTCAGTGGGTAGAGAGGAAAGATGAACATAAAATCGAAGGAACTGGGCCGGGCGCAGTGGCTCAAGCCTATAATCCCAGCACTTTGGGAGGCCGAGGCGGGTGGATCACGAGGTCAAGAGATCGAAACCATCCTCGTCAACATGGTGAAACCCCGTCTCTACAAAAAATATAAAAAAGTAGCTGGGCGGCCGGGCGCGGTGGCTCAAGCCTGTAATCCCAGCACTTTGGGAGGCCGAGGCGGGTGGATCACGAGGTCAACAGATCGAGACCATCTTGGTCAACATGGTGAAACCCCGTCTCTACTAAAATTACGAAAAATTAGCTGGGCACGGTGGTGCGTGCCTGTAATCCCAGCTGCTCGGGAGGCTGAGGCAGGAGAATTGCCTGAACCCAGGAGGCGGAGATTGCGGTGAGCCGAGATCACGCCATTGCACTCCAGCCTGGGTAGCAAGAGCGAAACTCCGTCTCAAAAAATAAAAACAAAAAAATAAAAATAAAAATAAAAAAAGTAGCTGGGCAAGGTGACGCGTGCCTGTAACCAGCTACTCGGGAGGCTGAGGCAGGAGAATTGCCTGAACCCAGGAGGTGGAGGGTGCGGTGAGCTGAGGTCGTGCCATTACACTCCAGCCTGGGTAACAAGAGCGAAACTCAGTCTCAAAAAAAAAAAAAAAAAAAGAAAAAAAAATCGAAGGACTTTGCCTGAATCTACCCCGGGCTCTTTCTAACAGCCTACTTCTTTCTTCTTGGTTCTTGGTCTGAGGGGATAGGTAGGGTATTCTAACTAGCACGATTTCTCATTTCTGCCCCTTTCTTCAACTGCAGTGATCTTTGCTGTCTTTACCCAAAACATTCCTTAAATTTGGCTGAAAATGTCACAATACCTCCTATTAGACATACTTCAGTTGTAACCACTGCGCTATTCTAAAATGCCTTCGGAATCCAATACAGTATTCCTTGAGAGCTTATTTTTTGTTTTTGAATTTTATATGCTTATCTTTGTTCTTATACATCTTCTAAACATTGATAATCAGAATTCTAGACTCTGTTTCTTTGGTATTGTAAGATGATTCACACTTCAATGTACATTATTCAGTATAGTATTTGAAATGATACTGTATCAACACAGCACTGAGAAGTATTTCAGCTTTGGGGCATCAACAGCATTTTTTCACTGTATTGTGTAAAAGTATTTATTGTATTAATTAAAGATAAAGGGTATCTAAGGGCTGGGCATGGTGGCTCATGCCTGTAATACCGGCACTTTGGGAGGATGAGGTGGGCAGATCCCTTGAGGCCAGGAGTTTGAGAGAAGCCTGGCCAACATGGTGAAATGTCATCTCTACTAAAAATACAAAAATTAGCCAGGCATGGTGGTGTTGCCTGTAGTTCCAGAGACTCTGGAGGCCAAGGCAGGAGAATCACTTGAACCTGAGAGGCAGAGGTTGCAGTGAGCCGAGATCATGCCACTCACTCCGGCCTGGGCAACAGGGCAAGATTCTGTCTCAAAAAAAAAAAAAAGAGTATTTTAGATTTTTAAGTTTATATTTATTAATGCATTCTTGGTTCATTTTGGAGAAGAAATCTGAAAAGTAATATTCATTGTCTTTTAAATGTTGAAAACCATTACAGTAGAATGAAAGAAATTTATGGAGTCTTTTTACATATAAATATTATTATAGCATAGTTTTTCAAATGCTTGATAGTTAAGTCAACCCCATTAGATTTTTAAGTGTTACTTAATATACTTTTTGAAGTGCTCCTTAGCAAAAAGTCATACCTTTATACAATCTGCCCAGCTTTTGAATATAATTTTCCATACTTTGAGAAGAGCTCAAATGATGGTAATACAGTCTGGAAATCCTAGGAGGAAAAAGTGCAAAGATGACCACAGAGATCCTAATGATTTATGTTGTTACCATTATTGTTATTTCTTAGATTAAATTGCTAGACAGATGTCATTCAATTGCACTTCAAATTTCCCGTTATACTCTCAAAATTAGCAGGTAAATTTCTGAAGTTTTATCAGTTGAAGATCAGGCATACTGAATTTCCTGGCACATAGTCTTTAACAGTTATGGATGTCACCTGCAAGCAAGGCTGGGCAATGCAAACATCAGGCATATCCACCTGTCTTCAAGGAGTCACAACCTAAATTATTTACCTTGGCTTCATAGGGCTTGGTACTTTGTTTTGTGCACAATAAATATTTGTTAACTGAATGAATGGAAATGGAAAGGTGACACACCCAAATCACGGTAATAGAGGGTAGACTATGTTCATTACCTCAGAAGTGATTGAAATGAATGGTAAAGGAGTTCAGAAGGAAGAGGAAAGAAATGATTTTTTGTTGTGTAACCAGAGAAACAGCACTTGATTGAACTTGGAAATTGATGCTTTTCATGCTTGTTAAACAGGTAAAGTCATTAAAAAGGTAAGAGACTAAATCAACAATGAATGCTGTAAACAAATGATCAGACTATTTAAAGGTGTATGTTTCTTCTTGGAAAGGAGATCTATTGTTAATGAAGGTAATTTTGGCTGAGGTTTTTTTTTTTTTTTTTTTTTTTCTTAAGAAAACATAGGAGAAAAAGACCTAAGTTCTGAGCCCAGCTCTTTAGAGGGCCCATATATAACAAACACATGCGAAAATAAATGTATTAAAGAACATGTGAACATGTAGGTATCTCTGTTACCAGAGATCTGGTTCTCCACTCTGGTACAACAGAGCCTCTAACTCTAAATATCTGCTTTTACAACTAATGCTTTTTCAAGCCCCAGGAAATAGCTCCACATCTGCTGCTCTGTGTATGTCATGCCCAAGTGACATGAAGGATGGTGGGTTGTGACAGACACTGCTTTTGAGTGCAAAGAGAATCTGAGTGATAAAAATGCTTAGATAAAAGGCACATTAATTAATATGGATGAAATCCTTTTTGGATAGCATGAATGCAATACAACTTTACATAATAAAGTATCATTTTCCTGTGGTGCTGAACATCTATATTCCTGCCTTCATTGTAAGTTACATGTCTGGAGGTAATCAGAAATCAACACAGTATTTACAATAATGCATGTGACATCTTTACTTTTTGCAATAGTAAATTATTCATATCACTCTTAAATTTGAGCATATTGAGTTTAGACATCTGCATGAAACATCAGTAATTTTTTATGTTGGCAACTTGAACACTGAAACCCAGAACTGTGAATAGCTTTATTTTTATAAATATATATGTATAACAATGTTTCACTTAATGTTCAAAACAGTAGACCTGCCTTGCAAGAAATGTTAAAAGTTTTCAATGAGAAGGCAAATGATATACGTTAGAAGTCCAGCTCTACAGAAAGAACTAGAGAGAAGGAACACATAAAGATAAAATAAAAGCTTTTATTTTTCTTATTCTTAGTTGACTTAAAAGATAACAGTCTTTGTTTTAAATAATAACATCAATGTCATTCACGATTATAGCTTGTGGATAAGAGAAATGAATGACAGCAATGTTATAAAAAATGGGAGGAAGGAATTGGGAATAATCTGTTATAAGGTAACTGCACTACCCATGAAGCAGTATAGGGTTATTTGAAAGTGTAACAGACCTACCCATTAGTATCGTGTTATTTGAAGCAGCATAGTGTTATTTGAGAGGATATAAATGTATACACCAAACTCTAGAACAACCACTACAGAAAAATTTTTTAATTGATATGTTAAGAGTGAAAGAAAATTAAATAATATAAAATGTTTAACTAAAACTAGAGAAAGCTAGGAGTGGAAGACGAAAGCAAAACCAATAAGAAAACAAAGACTAAGGGCAAAGAAGTAATAATATTACAAATGTGGTAGATATCAATCCAACTATATTAATGATCACTTTAAATGTGAATAGCTTAAATGCATCAATTAAAGAACAAGACTGGATAAAAAAAGAACCAACTATATCTTGGCTACGTGAAACTCACTTTAAATGTGAGAACACAGAGTAAAAGTAAAGAGATGCAGAAAGATATACCATGCTAACACTAATCAAAATATAGCTGGAGAAGCTATATTAATTTCAGACAAAATGGATATCAGAATAAGGAAAATTACTAAGGATAAAGAGGGACATTACATAGTAATAAAGTGCCTAGCAATAGAGTGCAAAAATCTATGAGGCAAAAATTGACAGAACTGCAAGGAGAAATAGACAAATTCATTATTGTACTTGGAGACTTCAGCACCCCTTTATCCATAATTGGCAGATCCAGCAGGCAGAATATAATTGAACTAAAGAGTACTACCATACAACTGTATATAATTGACATCTATAGACTACTTAATCCAACAACAGCAACAGCAGAATACACATTCTTATAGAGCTCATATTAAACATTCACCAAAATAGACTACATCCTGGGCTGGAAAACATACCTTAACAAATTTAAAAGAATAGAATTCATACAAAGTCTGCTCTCAGATCACAGTGGAATTAAATTAGAAATCAGTAACGGAAAGATTGCTGGAAAATCTCAAAATATTTAGTGATTAAGCAATGCACTTCTGAATAACACACGGGTCAAAGGAAAAATCTCAAGAGAAATAAGAAATATTTTTAACTAAATAAAAATGAAAATGCAACCCATCAAATTTGTGAGATGCAGCAAAAGCAGTGCCTAGAAGAAAACATATAGCACTAAATGCATATAGTAGAAAAGAAGAAAAATCTAAACTCAATAATCTAAGCTCCCACTTTAGGACATTATATTAAAAAGAGCAAATTAATTACAAAGTAAGCAGATGCAGAGAAAATAGGAGAAATCAATAAAATTTAAAATAGAAAAACAATAGAGAAAATCAACAAAATCAAAAGCCTGCTCTTGAAATCAGCAACAAAATTGCTAAAATCCTAACCGGGCTAACCAAGACAAAAGAGAGAAGACATAAATTACCAATATTAGGACCGAAAAATGGGCAATCACTCCTAATCCATGAGTGTTAAAAAGATAAATATGGCCAGACACAGTGACTCATGCCTATCATTCAGCACTTCTGGAGGCCAAGTGCTTTTGTCCAGGAGTTCCAGAGCAGCCTAGACAACACAGTGACACAGTGAGACTCTATCTCTACAAAAGGTTTAAAAATTGGCTGGGTATTGTGGTGTACACCTATAGCTCCAGCTACTCAGGAAGCTGAGGTGGGAGGATTGCTTGAGTCCTGGAGTTTGAGCCTGCAATGAGCAACAGGAAAGATTGCTGTGATTAAAAGATTGTTGTGATCAAACAACAATCCTGTGAGGTAGATATCTGGTTCTTAGCCACAGAATAAATATCTGGCTCTTAGCACTAGTATTTTCCTCTCTCATTCCTTAAATGATAGAAGTCTATTCATATTATACCTACCATGTTCTTTCAAAAATTAAGTAAATTCCATAGGCATTTACAGGAGACTAATTTTGGGGTGATAATGTGGTGAAACAGGACTTTGATGATACCGTCCTAACAGTAAAACTATTTTCAATAAGCACATTAAATGCATGTCTATTCATTTGTGTTAAATTATCTGTGTGTAATGCTGTGGTAATATAATATAATGCTAATATATATAAAAATGAAACAAAAATAAATAGAAGTTATAATATTTTCTTCCTTCATTTCTGTGGATCTTCTTGTGTACTTAATTTTGGACTCATCTGATATAATGAAGCATCACTTAATTCTGAGTTAGACCTTCTTTTATGTATTCAAGTAACATTTTGGTATCTGCAATGTGTCTGACACTATGCTAGCTTCCAACCAATGGTAACCAAAACTTGGTCTTCTCTAGTGTCAGACAGTAGTGCAGATGAACAAGGATTGACCCCTTCAAGTACTACCCTCTATGGCCTCTAAAACAAAATCTTTCAGAAACTCTTTATTGCTCTTATTTTTAAATCGAAAATCTCACATTCTTACTTAGCCCTTGACAACCAATAACTGTGACCTCTGGTACAGGAAAAGGTGAACATATCAACAGGAAAGCTTTGGTTTTGAGAGACATCTGGTGCTGCTTAGCATTTGTTTAAAATTTGCCTCTGATATGGTAAAACACGTCATCCAGCCATGGGAAACTATGAGCTCAAGAAAACACTTGCACAACACTTGCACAGTGTCACTTTTGAAATGGGGGTTGGGGGACTGCTTTTCTGAAAAATAACCTCATCAAGAAAAAACACTGGGGATGGTAATTTTAAATGCTGCCATAGCCCTTGCTTGCCAGAGCAGACAGCTTCTGCTATTAGGATGCCCAGCCAAACACAAATAATCCACTGCCAAAATGAGCTCCTTGGGACAATTTAGGAGTCTTTGGAAGTGATTGGTTCTTTGAGCTGGAATGCAGCCCAGGTCCATTTTCAAACCCAAGTCAAAATGACAAAGAGCACATTTCCTGGGCCACTCACCCACTAAGTGTAAGATTACTTTAGGTTGGCAGCTTCACTATTTATCTAGTTATTTAAGGCTTTTCACCAGATACTTACACCTGAGTGCTTAAATACTTCAATGTTAGTAAGCAGGACAGTGCTTATACACCATAGGAGACAAAACCTTTGAGATTAGACAGATAAGATGAAAATCAAGGGTTATGCACATATTTTTCAGCTTATAATGTCTTATATATTTAGCTTTAAAATATGGCAAAGGTTTTTCTTCTAGAGTTAAAAAAAGGAGCATGGCAAGAACTTCTGGCTGAGTATAAATACTACTTTAAACAAAAATATTTCCTTCTTCAATTAAATCTGGCTAGCACTGGAGACTTTCCAGACTTTTTAAATGAGAGTTTACAGGCAAGTTTAAAAGATCAGTTGGTATTATTTCTGCAAGATCAAACTTTGCTCACATTGCAT